CACCATAGGTAACAGAGTGTGAGACTCTGTCTCAAAAAAAAAAAATTAATTAATTATAAAAGGAAGATGTCATGCACAAAAGTAGAGAAAGTTAGTATAATACCCATGTACCCATTTATTTCCTGAAATGAAGTTTTTTTTTTATGTATTATTCTAAGTAGTTGTTTTGAACTCTTAGACCAAGGAGTAGCAATTGGAATACACTGAATTAAATAAGGCCAAATATGAGAATATTTCTGAAGCAGAATTTGATGTATTCATTGGATAAGAGGTGAGAGGAGAAAGTCTGATGAATTCCAAATTTCTAGTTTAGAAAACTAGTCTGTAATGGCATTAATCAAGAGCACAGAGAACCAAGAAACTTGAAGTTTGACAAAGTGTCTGGTTAGATGCCCTTGATGCAGTTTCCCCAGTTTCCTACCAGAATACTTATGATGATGCAAAAAGTGACAACAGAAATATCTAGGAGGCTGGGCATGGTGGCTCACACCTGTAATCCCAGCACTTTGGGAGACTAAGGCCGGTGGATCACCTGAAGTCAGGAGTTCGAGACCAGCCTGGCCAATATGGTGAAACTCCATCTCTACTACAAATACAAAAATTAGCTGGGCACGGTGGCCGGTGCCTGTAATCCCAGCTACTCAGGAGGCTGAGGCAGGAGAACTGCTTGAACCTGGGAGGAGGAGGTTGCAGTGAGCCGAGATCATGCCGTTGCACTCCAGACTGGGCAATAAGAGCAAAACTGTGTCTCAAAAAAAAAAAAAGAAAGAAAGAAAAAAAAGAAACGTCTAGGAACTAAGATAGGTGTCTGTCTTAATCCTTAGGGAAGAACTGAGATAATGCACCCTGGCCTCATCTGGAAACAAAAATGCTTGGAGAAAGGTAGTGAGTCATTACCTATATCCCACTGTTACTTTCCTGGCTCAGTAAACCAAGGCCCACACTAGCCAGAAACTGGGCAGCCCTCTGCAGAGCATCGCTTAATGCTATTTCAGGGACTAGAGTGGTGTATCTTTTCTTACTCTATCCGTCCTAATTTTTCTCTTACCTGTTTTAGGATACAAGGTCCCTGTTGGGCACTTGGTATTGATGGCATTACTGCACGAGTGGCATGGGCCACACAAGTCGAGTATTATCTGCTAAGACAGGGATGGGAGAGTCCTGGGTATAGGACACAATGGAAGCCATCATTTCTCAGATCTTTTATTGGTTTAGAGAATCGGTGAGGAAAAGGAAGTTGGGGTGTAGCTAGACCAGGACTGCAGTGAGTAAGTGTCTCTAAGAAACTGGGAAATAACTGGGAGTGGGGCTGGGCGCGGTGGATCACTTGAGGTCAGGAGTTCAAGACCAGCCTGGCCAACATGGTGAAACCCCATCTCCACGAAAAATATAAAAATTAGCTGGGTGTGGTGGCGTGCACCTGTAGCCCCAGTTACTCGGGAGGCTGAGGCAGAAGAATCACTTGAACCTGGGAGGCAGAGTTTGCAGTGAGCTGAGATCATGTCAACTGCACTACAGCCTAGGCAAGACAGGGAGACTCTGTCTCAGTAATAATAATAATAATAATAATAATAATAATAATAAATAAAAATAAATAATTGGGAGTGGTATGTATCGGCCTGTCCCATAGTTGTAGATAGATGGAGTCTTTTAGCCGTCACACAGATTGAGAGTAGGGTCAAGAACTGTTTGTTGCCTGTTAACAGATGATAAATAAATCCTAATAAACAATACAGGGCCTATGAGTAAACTCAGCTGGTTAAGGATATCAGAGGAGTGAAGACTAGAAAGGTCCACTACAAAATGCTCAGTAAAGTACAAGAAATCATTGCACTTACGAATTCTGAGCAAAAAGCCAAAGATAAAATTGGCTGAGATGAAACAGAAAATGGGTGTGATAAGATGATAAGGAAACTAAAAACAATGAGCAAGAATTAAATACATAAAAAGAGTTGGCCTGGCGCGGTGGCTCATACCTGTAATCTCAACACTTTGGGAGGCCAAGATGGGTAGATCACTTGAAGGTCACGAGTTCGAGACCAGCCTGGCCAACATGGCAAAAAAAAAAAAAAAAAAAAGTCTCTACTAAAAATACAAAAATTAGCACTTGTAATCCCAGCTACCTGGGAGGCTGAAGCAGGAGAATCGCTTGAACCTGGGAGGTGGAGGTTGCAGTGAGCCAAGATCACACCACTGTGCTACAGCCTGGATGACAGTATAAAGCTCTGTCTTAGGAGGGGTCGGGGGGAAACCATAGAGAAAGCAAAAAGAGCAAAGTTGTAAGGGTAGAAAGAAATATGTGATGGAGGTTAGCCTGGAAGAAAGGACAGTTGTTAAAGGAGCTGAAATAGAGAACAGAACCAACATAACAATAATTCTCCAGAAACCCAGAATAAATGGAACCAAGATAATAATGGTAATAGTTCAAGTTGCCTCCTTACCGTGCCTGACACCTGTCTACTTGAATCCTTATGACAGTCTTTAGAGAGAAGTCACTGCTGTTCGTGCCATTATACAGAGGAAGGGTGGAGATAGGCAATAAATTACCTCTAGTCACACAGCTGTTACAGATCGTTGTTGATTTATTAGAATAAAACTTTTCCCAGCTGTAATGGCCTGTATTGTGAAGAGGGAGTAGGTTTGCTGCATTCTGAGAAACATCAGTAATCACAACTAGTTCATTCTTGGTAACAACAGTTTTGTTAGTAAGTACAAAACTCTTTATTCAGTAGATAATTTATTGTCTCTTTGCAAATAACACATAGGGGTGAGATTTTAAAATGCTTTGTATTGATATCTCCATTTCTAATTCTTCCTCCAGTCCATATTTGTATCCCCCTTCTCACTAGTAAGAAATATCTGTGTGTTTGTTTATTTACTCACTACAGTAATACACATAGAAGAGTTTTGGAATTAAAGGCTGGGCGCAGTGGCTCACACCTGTAATCCCAGCACTTTGGGAGGCCAAGGCAGGCAGATCACAAAGTCAAGAGATTGAGATCATCCTGGCCAACATGGTGAAACCCCATCTCTACTAAAACTACAAAAATTAGCTGGGTGTTGTGGCACGTGCCTCTAGACCTAGCTACTAAGGAGGCTAAGGCAGGAGAATCACTCGAAACAGGGAGGTGGAGATTGCAGTGGGCCAAGATTGCGCCACTGTACTCCAACCTGGGTGAAAGAGCAAGACTCTCTGAAGAAGAGTTTTGGAATTGCTATACCATCACCAACATCAATTGTTTTTTGTTGGAATGCAGTATATCCCACTGAGGGTGGATGGTCAGAGTACTATGTTCAGAAGCTACTTAGAATCTGATTCTTTCCTTCTCTAATTGTGTTATCACCCCGATACATGGGTAGGTTTTTTTTCTTTGTATTTAGTTTTAGGGTCCTTGTTATCTGTTTAATTTTTAAAATATGTGAAAAATGGCCGGGCGCGGTGGCTCAAGCCTGTAATCCCAGCACTTTGGGAGGCCGAGATGGGTGGATCACGAGGTCAGGAGATCAAGACCATCCTGGCTAACACGGTGAAACCCCATCTCTACTAAAAAATACAAAAAACTAGCCGGGCGAGGTGGCGGGCGCCTGTAGTCCCAGCTACTCGGGAGGCTGAGGCAGGAGAATGGCGTGAACTCGGGAGGCGGAGCTTGCAGTGAGCTGAGATCCGGCCACTGCACTCCAGCCTGGGCGACAGAGCGAGACTCCGTCTCAAAAAAAAAAAAAAAAAAGTGAAAAATTAACATGGCTTAAATGTCAAAACTTTTTGTATACAAATGTTTCCTCAGGCCAGTCACGGTGCCTCACGGCTGTAATCCCAGCACTTTGGGAGGCCAAGGCGGGCAGTTGAGGTTAGGAGATCGAGATCATCCAGGCTAACACGGTGAAACCCCTTCTCTACTAAAAATACAAAAAATTAGCTGGGTGTGGTGGCAGGCGCCTGTAGTCCCAGCTACTTGGGAGGCTGAGGCAGGAGAATGGCGTGAACCTGGGAGGCAGAGCTTGCAGTGGGTGGAGATCACATCACTGTACTCCAGCCTAGGTGACAGAGCAAGACTCCGTCTCAAAAACAAACAAAAGTTTCCTCTGAGAAGTTTCATTCCTTTCCCTATCCCTTCTTTCCTGTTTCTATCTATACACTAGGACAGTAATTTCATTACTTTCCGGTTTATTCTTCCCAAATTGTTTCATTTTGGAAAAATTAACTGGTAAAAGTATATTTATTTTCCCTCCATTCTTAGCTCTCCTTTCTCATGGAAGTCCTTTCTTCTGCAAGAGATAGCATGCCATATATACTCTTCTTCACCTTGCCTTTTTTCCCTTTATGTCTCACACAACTTACTCTCTTTTTATTTTTTTTGAGACGGAGTCTCATTCTGTCAACCAGGCTGGAGTGCAGTGGCATGATCTCGGCTCACTGCAACCTCTGTCTCCCAAGTTCAAGTGCTTCTCCTGTCAGCCTCCTGAGTAGCTGGGACTACAGGCACACGCCACCATGCCCAGCTAATTTTTTTATTTTTAGTAGACATGGGGTTTCACCATGTTGGCTAGGATGGTCTCGATCTCTTGACCTCGTGATCCGTCCGCCTCAGCCTCCCAGCATTACAGCCTCCACGCCTTGTAATGCTGAGATTACAAGCGTGAGCATTTATGTTATACATCAGGTGGATCACCTGATGTCAGGAGCTCGAGAGCAGCCTGACCAACATGGTGAAACTCCATCCCTACTGAAAATACAAAATTAACTGGGCATGGTGGTACAGCGCCTGTAATCCCAGCTACCTGGGAAGCTGAGGCAAGAGAATCGCTTGAACCTGGGAGATGGAGGTTGCAGAGAGCCGAGATTGTGCCACTGTATTCTAGCCTGGGCAACAAGAGCAAAACTCTGTCTCTAAAAAAAAGAAAGAAAACAGTGAATAAAAGATAATTGAGTTTACTTCCTATTTTTCCTAAAGCCACACGTCTGTTAAATTCATTCTTTGTTTTTTTCTCTCCAATTTTAGTCTGTGCTGAGACCTATAACCCTGATGAGGAAGAGGAAGATACAGATCCAAGGGTAAGACCCAAGCAAAGATGTTAGGTAGAATTGTATTTCTCATTAACTCCCCTTCTCTACATACCAAAAACTCATCATACTAATCATTAAATACAAATTAAAATATCAATAAAGTGACATTTTCAATCTTAACAAATTGAAAGCTGCACCGGTTGAGGGTATGGTGAGAAGTGCCTAGCTGTAGCTGTCAGAAGCCTTAAACAGGCTGGGCATGGTGGCTCACACCTATAATGCAAACACTTTAAGAAGCTGAGGCAGGAGGATTGCTTGAGGCCAGGAGTTCAAGACCAGCCTGCACAATATAGCAAGACCCCATCTCTGGGGGAAAAAAAAAAAAATTAGCTAGTTTGGTGGCATGTGCCTGTATTCACAGCTACTTAGGAGCCTGAGGCAGGAGGATTGCTGCTTGAGTCTAGGAGGTCGAGGCTGAAAAGAAAAAAAAAAAACAACTGCTGGGCATGGTGGCTCACACCTGTAATCCCAGTGCTTTGGGAGGTTGAGGTGGGAAGATCACTTGAATCCCAGGAGTTTGAGACTAGCCTGGGCAATATAGTTAGACCTCATCTCATTTAAAAAAAAAAAAAATTAACAAGCCTTAAATACTTAGAGCCAGGCCAATTGATTTAGCATTTACCTAAAGGGGAATTCATCCCTAATGAAAGTTGGATCCTTCCTGAGGATGTACAAATGGAGTTTATCGTAGTGTTATAACAATGAAAAGTGGAAACAACCTAAATGACCCAAAATATGGGATTACCAGGGGCTAAATTATACTACATTCAAATGGAGAGAATCTGTAGCCATTGAAAGTGATGGTACAGGACTGTATGTAATGGCATGGGATGTATGTTTGTGTGAGGTGCATTTTATAGAGCATTTTGTAAATTAAAAAATTTGAAATATATATATTTATTTGTATATATGTATGTATAGAAAATTCTATCTGGAAGGATATACCCCAGATGTTAATAGTGGTTGTGGCAAAACCATGTTTGATTTTTGGGTGCTTTTAAAAAAAAAATAGTTTTTTAAACTTCTGTACAATTGAGGTAAATTATTTTTTGTTTGTTTGTTTTTGTTTTTTGTTTTTATTTTTTTGAGATGGACTCTCACACTGTCACCTAGGCTGGAGTGCAGTGACGCGAATTCGGCTCATTGCAACTTCCACCTCCTGGGTTCAAGTGATTCTCCTGCCTCAGTCTCCCGACATAAATTACTTTTATGAGAGCATGTATGAACTATAATTTTTAAAAGATTGATATTATAGACTGGGTGTGGTAACTCAGGCCTGTAATCCCAGCACTTTGGGAGGCCAAGGTGGGTGGATCACCTGTCAGGAGTTCGAGATCATCCTGGCCAACCTGGTGAAACCTCATCTCTACTAAAATACAAAAATTAGTTGGGTGTGGTGGTGGGCGCCTATAATCCCAGCTACTCAGGAGGCTGAGGCAGGAGAATTGCTTGAACCCGGGAGGCCAAGGTTGTGGTGATCAGATCACACCACTGCACTCCAGCCTGGGTGACAGAGTGAGACTCCATCTCAAAAAAAAAAAAAAAAAAGATTGCTGTTATAAAAACCTTTAGTGGGCCAGGCATGGTGGCTCATACCTGTAATCCCAGCACTTTGGGAGGCTGAGGCAGGTGGATCACAAGATCAGTAGTTCGAGACCAGCCTGACCAATATGGTGAAACCCCATCTCTACTGAAAATACAAAAATTAGCCTGGCGTGGTGGCGCCCACCTGTAATCCCAGCTACTCAGGAGGCTGAGGCAGGAGAATCACTTGAACCTGGGAGGCGGAGGTTGTAGTGACCCAAAATCACACCACTGCACTACAACCTGGGCGACAGAGTGAGACTCTGTCTCAAAAAAAAAAAAAAGCTTTAGTGATCTATTATGTTAGCCTTAAATCAAGTTACCCTTAAAATGAGTAACTTATGAAAGATATCTGAAATATTCTAATAAATGCTACCATTTTTGTGAATGTAAAAATCCTGTAGATTAAATTTTTTGTTCTAGCTATTGTAAAATTATTGATGACTAAAACAGTTTTTTCTAATTTAATATCACAAATTTAAAATACTTAACACTTTTTTTTTTTTTTTTCTTGGTTGAGATGGAGTCTTGCGCCAGTCCCGGGCTGGAGTGCAGTGGCCGGATCTCAGTTCACTGCAAGCTCCGCCTCCCGGGTTTACGCCATTTTCCTGCCTCAGCCTCCCAAGTAGCTGGGACTACAGGCGCCCGCCACCTCGCCCGGCTAGTTTTTTGTATTTTTTTATTAGAGGCGGGGTTTCACTGTGTTAGCCAGGATGGTCTCGATCTCCTGACCTTGTGATCTGCCCGCCTCGGCCTCCCAAAGTGCTGGGATTACCTGGGATTATAGGAGCGAGCCCCCGTGCCCAGCCTTTTTTTTTTTTTGAGATGGAATCTTGCTCTGTCACCAGGCTAGAGTGCAGTGGTGCGATCTTGGCTCACTGCAACCTCCTCTGATTCCCCGGTTCAAGCGATTCTCCTACCTCAGCCTCCCAAGTAGCTGGGATTACAGGCATGCGCCACCGTGCCCAGCTAATTTTTCTATTTTTAGTAGAGACGGAGTTTCACTGTGTTGGTCAGGCTGGTTTCGAACTCCTGACCTTGTGATCTGCCCGCCTCGGCCTCCCAAAGTGCTGGGATTACCTGGGATTATAGGAGCGAGCCACCGTGCCCAGCCTTTTTTTTTTTTGAGATGGAATCTTGCTCTGTCACCAGGCTAGAGTGCAGTGGTGCGATCTTGGCTCACTGCAACCTCCTCTGATTCCCCGGTTCAAGCGATTCTCCTACCTCAGCCTCCCAAGTAGCTGGGATTACAGGCATGCGCCACCGTGCCCAGCTAATTTTTCTATTTTTAGTAGAGACGGAGTTTCACTGTGTTGGCCAGGATGGTCTCAATCTCCTGACATCGTGATCCGCCTGCCTCGGCCTCCCAAAGTGTTGGGATTACAGGCATGAGCCACCTCGCCTGGCCAACACTTTTAACATCTATTATTTCTGGTCAGATTAAATGATGTACTTTTTTTTTTTTTTTAATAGATGCTCAATATTTGTTTAATGAACACATTTATAAGCCTCTGCTTTATGGATGAAGATCCTGAGGCTCCCAGGGGACAGCTCACTTGCTGCCAGCCACGTAGTCAGCAGGTGGCTTCAGGGCTGGTGCTTTTCACCTCTATATTACATTGCCCCTCCACCTTCAGCATGCAGCTTGATATTTATGTAAAATTAAAATTACAGAAACCATGCTCTTTATTTTTCCCACTTTTTGGAGAAAGAAATATACCAGTCTTTAAGTGGTTATGTTAAAATGGAATAAAACAATTTCCATGGTTTTATTTGGATTGGCAGGTGATTCATCCTAAAACTGATGAACAGAGATGCAGACTTCAGGAAGCTTGCAAAGATATTCTCCTTTTCAAAAATCTCGATCAGGTAACATTGATTTCTAAAGTATTTTTATTATAATGATCTTTTAGCTTTGCTCCTATTTGTCACTTAAACTTTAATCTTTAGCATCCTAACCATAGCCGTATTAAGCATAAACCTTAGATTCATCTTACATACAAATGTTTCATTGTATTGACCACTTTAACCCAGACATGATCTTTTAGATGCCTTTTAGTGCAGTAGTCCCCGTTATCCTTGGTTTTTGCTTTCCAGGGTTTCAGTTACCCATAGTCAACAACAGCCCAAAAATACTAAATGGAGAATTCCAGAAATAATTCCTAAGTTTTAAAAGGCATGCCGTTCCAAGTAGTGTGATGAATCTCATGCTGTTCTGCTCTGCTGCCACCTAGAACACAAATCATCACTTTATCCCAGTGTATTCATGCCATATATGCCACCTGCCCATTAGTCACTTAGTCACCATCTAGCAGTACTCATATTCACGTAACCCTTATTTTACTTAATAATGGCCCCAAAGCACAAGAGAAGCAATGCTGGCAATTCGGATATGCCAAAAAGAAGCCATAAAATGCTTCCTTTAAGTGAAAAGATGAGAGAAATTTAAGGAAAGAAAGGAAGAAAGAGAGAGAGAGAAAAGAAAGAAAAGAAAGGGTGAGATAGAAAGAGGGAGAGAAAGAAGGGAAGAGAGAAAGAAAGAAAAGGAAGGAAGGAAGAAAGGAAGGGAGAGAGGGAGGGTGGGAGAAAGAAATTGTATACCGAGGTTGCAGAGATCTATGGTAAGAATGAATCTTCTGGCTGAGTGCGGTGGCTCATGCCTGTAATCCTAGCACTCTGGGAGGCTGAGGTGGGTGGAGTTCAAGACCAGCCTGGCCAACATAGTGAAATTCCGTCTCTACTAAAAATACAAAAATTAGCCAGGTGTGGTAGTGTGCACCTGTAATCCCAGCTACTCAGGAGGCTGAGGCAGGAGAACTGCTTGAATCCAGGAGGCGGAGGTTGCAGTGAGCTGAGATCACACCATTGCACTCCAGTCTGGGTGACAGAGCAAGACTCCATCTCAAAATCAAAAAAAAAAAAAAAAAGAAAATATAAGAATGAATCTTCTATCTGTAAAACTGTGAAGAAGGAAAAAGAAATTTCTGCTAGTTTTGCTGTCGCACCTCAAACTGCACAAGTTACAGCCACAGTGCGTGTTAAGTATTTGGTTAAGATGGAAAAGGCATTACATTTGTGGGTGGAAGATACGAACAGAAGTGTTTTCCAATTGACAGCAATGGGGTTCAACACTATCTGTGGTTTCAGACATCCACATATCCCCTTGGAACATATTCCCCATGGATAAGGGGAGAACTGCTGTATTTTTCTGAGCTGCTTTGGCACTTTCTCCAAGACAAAACTGATAATTTGAAGAGCATGCAATTTTGTCATGTTGCAAGGAAATGCTCAGATTTGCATGACCCTGGTTTAGTTTGGAGGTCTGAATTTATCCTACAAAGAGATTGATTTTTCTGAAGATGCTGGTATGTAGTTCCCTTCATTGATAATAGTTAACCCACTGGCTTACCACAGTATGTGATAAGTGCTTCTTGAGAATGGTGTGTTTCTGCAGGGCCTAGCATAGGATCTGTGACCTGGGCCTGTCCTCCCTCTCTTGGTGGTAGAAGTAAAGAACAAGGGCTATCTCCTGATGGGTGTCCTAGTACATTTGGGCTGCTATAACAAAATACCATAACCTGGGTAGTTTATAAACAGTGGAAATTTCTCACAGTTCTGGAGTCTGGGAAATCCAAGCTCAAGGTGCCAGCAGATTTGGTGTCTGACCAGGAACCCACTTCCTGGTTCATAGATGACCATCTCTGAATCACATGCAGTAAGTACTTCAACATTGTTGGTAGTGTTGGAAACTGTAACTTTAAGCAAAACAACCTATAATGGAACCTTTTTTTTTCCCTCATCAGTGTTATAACTGTGTTATTTGAGGACCTTCTATACATTGTTTTGCTTATAGTCACAGTTTTCAAGAACCTATCAACCACTTAAGTGAGGACTTACTGTGTTTCGTTTGGTTGTCATGTTGTTATTTTAGTCTCCTCTAACCTAGAAATGCTCCCCTTCCACCCCTTTTATTCTATATCTCATAACACATGTGTTTGAAGAGTACAGACTAGAAGAAGAAAAGTGACACAGAACAAGAGGCTTCTAGCAGGCAATCCACAGGCTAGGTACAGATGTCTGTGTTTGTTCTGTATTGTACATGAAAATTTAAATTTATTGCCAGCATTTAAATAGGAGATTTCTGGCAACGCTGGGCTCACATTCCAGTGAATGTGGGTAACACGTCAATTGCAAGCCATCCTTTTTAGTATTTGTGAGCTTATACAGTATTCAACTCACATGGAACTAAAGATACTTTTTGGTGATACTCAATTATCGTAGTAGTACAGTCACTCTGATAGAACATAAACTCACCTGGAAGTATGCAGTCATAAAATTATTCTTTTTCCAGGTCTTCAGTCTACATTCCTCCAAAGAGAAAGTCTCTTTTTTTAATTGAACCTGGTATTCTTTAGTGACTCCCTAATAATCACTGATCTCCCTGTCTGACAGGGATGCTGGCCCTAGACTGAGACCATTGTTTCATAGAATTTAATAGTATTATTTTGTTTTCATTATACTTATTGACATGGTTGATGTCTGGTTATGGCAGGCAATAGTAGTAAGTAATTGTATGTGCTGTATGCAAATGAAGCAATATTAGCTGTCTTATAATAGATCTCATTTATTGAGTATCTGTTGTTTCGTAAATACTTCCTAGGTTTTTCTCCTTTGGTCATAAAAATTGATGACCTGGAATCTTTGTTATACCCTTTTTGAAACTGAAGTTCACTGGGCGTGGTAGCTCACGCCTGTAATTCTAGCACTTTGGGAAGCCAAGGTGGGCGGATCACATGAGGTCAGGAGTTTGAGACCTGCCTGGCCAACATGGCAGAACCCCATCTCTACTAAAAATATAAAAATTAGCCAGGCGTGATGGTGCAGGCCTGTAGTCCCAGCTACTCAGGCAGCTGAGGCAGGAGAATTGCTTGAACTCAGGAGGTAGAGGTTGCGGTGAGCTGAGATCACACCACTGAACTCCAGCCTGGGCGACAGAGTGAGACTCTGTCTCTAGAAAAAAAGAAAAAAAAAGATACTGAAGCTCAGCGAGGTTAAGTGACGTGTTTTGCTAGTCAAAAGCAGTTGTGCTATTCCAAAAGATAACCTCTAAGCCACAGCAGTCCTTTAGATCTGATGATCCTGTTAAGATCAACACCTGTAGGAAGGTGGCAGCATATGGCTTTACACGTAACATAGTGGAACCATCAGGCAGGTGATAGTCAATATTTTTGCGTAAATTGTGGGAAGCTTTTTCAAAACAATACTGCCTCAGAAGACTTGCCAATTTGCTGTCTGCTGAGGTACATGGAGGTGCAAAGCTGAATGGTCCCAGGAAAGCATTTGTTTCAGATAACCTTTAGGTTTCTGTTTGAATGTGGGGACTTCTGTTATATAGTCACAAATTGAGATAATTATGGTCACTGCTTTTTTGCAGCATATGTAAGGCTATTTTTCCTTCTTGTGCATACCCTGCAGGAACAACTTTCTCAAGTTCTTGATGCCATGTTTGAAAGGATAGTCAAAGCTGATGAGCATGTCATTGACCAAGGAGATGATGGAGACAACTTTTATGTCATAGAACGGTAGGAGATGGAGCTTTGAAATTGTGTGGCCACACTTAATCGGATTCATGAATCAGTGCAGATGCTTTATCCTATTCTGTATTCAGCCCAGAGAGGCTTAGGGCCAAGTGAAAAAGCTTCCCAAAGCCTTGTGAGAGTCCACAGCTTGTCCCTCTCTACCAGTGCTGTCCTGAGTCCTCAGCACAACTCATATTTGAAGAGCAATCATCTAGAGTGGAAAGTCTCCTTTAGGCCAGGTGCGGTGGCTCACGCCTGTAATCCCAGTACTTTGGGAGGCCAAGGCCAGTGGATTACTTCAGGTGAGGGGTTCGAGACCAGCCTGGCCAATATGGTGAAACCCCGTATCTACTAAAAATACAAAAATTAGCCGGATGTGGCGGTGCATGCCTATAATCCCAGCTGCTTGGGAGGCTGAGGCTGGAGAATCGCTTGAACCCAGGAGGCGAAGGTTGTTGCAGTGAGCTGAGACCCCACCACTGCACTCCAGCTGGGCAACAGAGCAAGACTCCGTCTCAAAAAAGAAAAAAGAAAGTCTTCTTTACAGTTAGTTAAAGAGTGCAGGATGTGCTTTATAAACATGTTATTTGCCAGTGTCAAGTGAATTGATTCCCTGAAGAATTAGCCATGGTGCTATAGTTGTTTGAATCTTCATGTTCGAGCCTGATTTTACTCATTAATATGCTGCCCTGACCTTAACCCCTCTGGCTCAGATGTAAGTATTAGGAAAAAATGAAATATTTGGGCTTGGCCTGCTCACCTTACTGTGTCCTAACCTCTTGAGCTTAGTATCCTCTTTGGCTGGTGGCAGTGAGGTAGGTATCCTGATCCCCTTAGTCCTGAAAGAAACACTCTCATTAAGAGTTTAACATCGGCCGGGCGCGGTGGCTCAAGCCTGTAATCCCAGCACTTTGGGAGGCCGAGACGGGCAGATCACAAGGTCAGGAGATCGAGACCATCTGGCTAACACGGTGAAACCCCATCTCTACTAAAAAATACAAAAAACTAGCCGGGCGAAGTGGCGGGCGCCTGTGGTCCCAGCT